CCCCCCCCCCCCCCCCAGCACAAGCGCTCGGCTGCTGGGGGGGCAAGACCCCCCCCCCCCCCCCAGCAGCAGAGCTCTGCCTGTGGGGGGTGCTGGCATCTCTGTGCAGACAGCAGCTGTAAGATGGTAGCATGCGTTCCAGTGGCGAGAATTTATGGTCGGCACCAAAATCAGTGGTCTCACCGGCGGGCCCTCCTATTGCCAGCCGGGCGGTGCGGGGCACGCCAGCCTCTCTTCTACGCCTCTCCTTCCTCGCGGCGCCTCTGCTTCAAGGAGCAGGGAAGATACGGCTCTCGCAGCTGTGGCACAGCGGAGAGCCCACAGCGGGCGGTACAAGTCCATCAGATATGGTTCCCTATCTTCGCATGCTCGTTGTTGGTGATATCCGCGCGAGGTCATACGCCACAGGCCAGCAATCACTCGGCGATGAGACTACTGATTTGGCGCGACGCTCTGACACCGAGTGTTGCTCGACGCTGCGACACCCACTCTTGTTGCATGCAGCACACAGACTGCATGGATTTGCCTCTGCATAGACGGGCTGATTCTACATTCTGTATTTCTCTGAAAACGCAGAATGCAGATGCATAATGCAGAATGCAGAACCCAGCCCAAAATGATTACTCTGTATGTGCAGCATGCAGAATGCAGGATGCAGGATGCAGAATCGGCCCCCAAATGGATTCTTCTGCATGGTGCAGGATGCGCAGGATGCAGAATGCAGGATGCAAAATCAGACCCAAAGAGTTTGTCCGTTTGCACTGACGGTCGGCCGTCAGAAAACACGCCTCCGTGGCTCGGGTTACACCAATCCTCGCTACCCAACGCGGCCAAAGGATATCCACCTCGAGAACCTCGAGGCAGGGAGGCCTGGGTCTTCACAGCGGTTGCTGCGACGCAGGGCGCCAGGCTGCTGGCCAAGAGATTCCACCCTCAATCCTGGAAAACCCCGGTAGATTCTGCCTTTCCATTCTGCTCTACTAAACAAGGATTCTTGCTATTATTTTCCAGGTACGTACTTTTAAGGCTGGATCCGGCCATTCCAAGGGTAGATCTTCTTCTTTAGTAATATGCATCACTGTAGCGCGGTCCATCGCCGCATCCCCATCCCCGTCTGCGGCGGCGCCTCCTGCGCCCGTGCCGGCCTGCTCTGCGACGGCTCGCCACCGCTCGTCGTCCAGCATGTGCCACCACCGCCGATCCGGGTAGCCGTCGTACTCGATCTGGTGCGCGATCCGTCCGTCCCCGTCCTCCTCCCGCGCCATGACGGTCGCAGGGTACCACCGCTCACTGTCGCAGAAGATCTCGAGGCGCGATCCGGTGGACAGGACAGTGTGGCCGTCGAGCGCCGCCCTGGCATCCTCGCGCTGTCGCTTCCGCCGCTTCGCCTTCGTCTCCTTGCTGCGCAGCAGGGTGTAGTTCGGGCCCACCTCCGCCACGCTGTCCAGCAGCTGGGCGGCGCTCGCCATCTCGACCGCGTCGTCCTCCGGCGGAAGCTCCGCGTCGCCCGCGGCCGCTTCCCGAGCGCGCTCGTCGCGCATCCGCTCGTGGTGGGCCTGCCGACGCGCCACGCCGGCGCCCGTGTGCCTCGCCGCCGCGTCCGGTGACGGCATCGGTCGCTGCCACAGGTCGTCCCACAGGTCGTACCAACAGGTCGTCCCAAAGGGGACGCATCCAAACCGCCGCATTTCGCCCGCCGAAAAGTCTCCCACTCGCTCTGCCCCAATCTCGAACCAATCTCGAGTCGTCTCACTAGTTACATACATACCTGGCGTGGGCGAGGCGCTGGCTGATGTCGCGGTCGCTGGCCGATGCTGCCGCTACGGCACTAGACAGCAACCCTCTCGGTGACGAGGA